GAGATCAGCCTGCAGGATTGAGCCCTGACCAGTGGAGGGGGCATAGCAGAAACAAGATGCGCACCTCCGACGATCTATGGCGATACCAAGAACAAGCCATTCTGTGATGTTGGCTGCCCCAGCATTGTTCTCTTCTTCAACCATAGCTGTTTGTGTAGCAATGATCCCAGGCACTAAAGACACATTCAACCACCATATTGAGACGATGCCCGAGATAAACATACACGGGTTTTTGGCAAAGCTGAATATGTCTTTCTTCGCAATGTCCTCGCTTGCAGCATTGTGGGCATCATTAACTGCCTGAGTCCACATTGCAATTTCGTCTTTAGTAGCGACACCATTTATGTCGTCAAACGCTTTCGTGGCAGCTGCACATTCACGATGGGCTGTAATCCATTTCCGACACTGTGTGTGTGCTTGCTCCAAGGATCAACGACTGGGCTGGAAAGAATAGACAGGTCTCACCCATACGAGTCAGCTTCATCCAGTTTGAATCACACATGTGATCGTCTTGAACCTCTTGTCTGTGGGAGGTGCTCATGCCCCTGGTGCTGTCGCCGATGGCATTCAGTGGTTTCCACAGTGGTTCCATAGTCTCCCCATCCTGAATACCTGCCCAACGAACAAAGTTCAAAGAGTAACGGGCGAAGCAGTTGTGTTGATGCCCATGCACATGGAACTGCCCAATTGCCCAGAGAAATGTGGCCTCTGGCGGAATGTCAAGGAAAGGGGAGTTGGCAAATCGTGTGGCCATGTTGACGTGGTACTGGCAAATGATGTCGTAGATGAGCAGGAAGGATGAATAGACTGTGTATGCCTTCAATGCCCAGTTGACAGAATAGTCCATGTTGCGTTGACTGTGGATCATATCAGTCGTGCGACGTATCGTATAGCTAAAAACATACGCTTCTCCACGCTGGAAGTCGACAGCAGAGTGGGGCACAAATACCCCATGCCGTGAACACGCAGCCGCCCCTATGCCTGTGACATCCAAATGGTCTTTTGTGTTGTGGGACTCCAATGCTGCACGATGTGAGTTGCAGGTAGAACGAGGCCGCTAATTTATGTTTTTTCTCAGCCATCAAAGAACCATCAGAGCATAAGTTCAACCCACTGGCTCATTTCGTGCAAGCGCGTCAGCGAGGTGAGCTTTATATGGCGCCTGGCCGACCATGTGCATCTTGCCATCCATCAAAGAAACATCACCAGACTCAGAGGCCATCTTCATGTGTTGTGCACAGAAGTTGCCGTCGAAAACGAGGGATGCTGGATATTGGCAACTGGAACAGTCAAATCAGGCTTTGTTGAATAGAAGTCCCCTTCAGAAGGGTCGCAATCCATAGACGTGTGGGGAAACAGCATTGGGGCCATGGGCCACTAAACACAGGAGGTCGGAGTACCTCTGGCAACCATACCCCGGCGCTCGGAGTGCCCACGTCCACCATACCCGGGCGCTCGGAGTGCCTACGCCCGTCAGACACGGGCGCTCGGAGTGCCCACGCCCATCAGGTGCGGGCGCTCGGAGTGCCCATGCCCATCAGATGCGGGCGCTCGGAGTGCCCATGCCCATCAGACGCGGGCGCTCGGAGTGCCTACGTCCACCACACCCCGGCGCTCGGAGTGCCCAGGCCCGTCAGACACGGGCGCTCGGAGTGCCCACGCCCGTCAGAAATGGGCGCTCGGAGTGCCCACACCCATCAGTGAAAAGCACACTTAGATGCCATCGGCCACATTGCAGGTCATTTTCACCACGTGTGCGGCAGGGGGACGTACCGTTTGGGGTCTTCTGCCCATCCTGGTGGTGTGTTCTCTCCCCCCCTTAGGCACCCCGGACATTTGATTGCAAGTTCCCCAGGCCCAGGCTCGACCCCTGAGTGGCCAAACCCTGATCGCATGGTGTGAAAAAGGACACGATGCTGCCTGGACGTTCGGAGCAGACCCTTATACCCGAGCTAATAAAGTGAGCAATCAGTCAAGCGAAGTATATTAAAGAACAGTTTCTTTACTGCAAGATCGCCATAAAATGCCCCATCCGTCTTGCGACATAGATATTTGTGGTAGCTCATAGCCGATACTTTGCATTGCCGGTTTGTAAGTGAGAAGTCTTTCAGTAGGTCCATTGTGTAGACGGTCCTGACTCGTCGTGAAGATGCAGGATAGAAGCCCAGCTCTAAAAGCTGTTCGTCTTCTGGGTCCGCCCCTGGGCATTGACAGAAGGTGAATGAAAGGCGATGGAGGCCGTTGGTGTGGATCACTGAGATGGTGCGTTCACCATGATATGTGGGGATAGTGAGATCTGAAGGAGCATCTGGGGGGGGAGGTTGGGAAGAAGTTGTAACTTCAGTACCGTCGTCATCTAGGGTGGCCTCCTCATCCTCCCATTCTGGATGATCTTCAAAGGCGTGTATCCGGGGCTCATCTTCTTCGTCATCCTCATTGTCATGTTCGTTTTGTGGGTCTGAAAACACATCTGTGTTGGGCATTGACGCGGCATTCTCAGTTCGCAGGGAAGCGGCACCTGGCACTTCACAAAGAGATGGGCAGGGGTTACTGTCATGTCCACAGTGGATCTGCATTCGGAGGTCATAGAGGGAGGCGTTGGCCCAGTGATTTTGCTTCCATCTTTCAATCCGGTGGGTTACAAGGCTGATGTGCTTGCGTCTACAACATGGGCCACATAAAGCTGGGCGCCCAAGACACTCCGTGCATCTCCAGAGGGCAGGTCTGCCACAGGAACAGTTGCTGGTGGGTCCAGCGTAGGCATTAAACAGAATACCCATGTATTTCGCTTTTCGAAGTTTGAAATCTTCATAGAATTCTCGTTGGGTCTGAGTGCATTGGTGAGCATTGATTGCCCTCCTCGATGAAATTGCCCACCTTGTACTTCTTCTTAGGCTTTGTGGGAATGTCCTGAACTGGCCCGAGAAAGAATTCCCCCCCCAATCCATCTAGCTCGGAGGAAGTTCCTTCGTGCGCAATTTTTTGACGCTTTCCAACACTGGGTTCCAATCGGGTGAGTTCTGGCGGCGCTGGTTGAGGAAATCTCCCTGTCCGTTGGCGATGGCCACGACGCCCATTTGTGGTTGTTTCGAGTTTTGGGGCAGGACGGAACCGCCTGTTGTAATCTACTCGGTCGATGGTCATTGCTGTTGGTGTTGACTGAAAGAGGTGAGCACTATAAAGACGACGTGGTGTAGTTGGCAGAGAAAGGCCACGCCAAGAGCTCAAGCACATTCTTCTGCTAAGGCGCTATCTTGGTTGCCAGCCGCTGAAATGGGCGTCATTGAAGCAATTTTATGATGGCTGGGCACTGTGAGGATCCAGCACATCACACCTTTCAGAGACACCCTTGCTTACCTCAAACTTCACATCATCCTTCGAATCGTCTTCCATCATTCTGATGGCTCTTCCTGCGACTGAGGACAACTTCTGTCCATGGATATGGACTAAAAGCGAGAAAATTATCCTCACATCAAAATGTGCAGAATGGGTGGCAGGAAACGCAACCATTCGACGACACATCGAACAAGAAGTTGCAGCGGCGCTCATTGAGGGTCGTGGGCAAGGCTCTAACATTAAAGTTCTTGGAGCATTTGTTGTGCAGGTGGGATGAATTCCGAGGCTCGCATGTTTACATTCGCTCATGTGGTCTTGTCAGAGGGTACAGACTTGGTTCGGCAACAACAACACCATTCGCACTCAAACCCACCTGTACCTCCCGATATCGCAATCAAATGATCTTTGATCGCCCCCCTGGGGTGATTCCCGTTCCGGTAACTGCGAATGTTTCTACGCCTGCGAACCGTAGAGCCTCTACAGATATCGACTACAGATACCTTGTAAGGTAACGTTAGAACGGGTGCTTATGTACAAGTCCCCTGGCCCCATCCCCGACTTCCCCGAGGCCCCGGCCCAGCCCTCCTCCGCGCTTCCCCGGCTCACGTGAACGGATTCCCGCGCCGCGCCCCCTGATGGCCGCCCTTGTTGGCGCCCCCCCGGCGCCGCCCGTCCGTGATGGCCATCCCCGCCGTCCTGCTCGCCGTCCCCGACGACGAGCTCACTGTTCCCGCTCTCCCTCCCGTTCCCGTTCCCCGATTCGCTCCGTTCTTTTTTGTATATACTTATATTACTAATGCGCATCTATCTACACAATTCGTCCGTGTAAGACGTGCTCTGTGGTGCCCCGACCACCCCCTGCCCCCCGCCACTGCCCCCCGCCCCCGCGTAGGGAGGGCGGGAGGTTATGTCAGCATACTCAACGCCCCGGCGGAGGGCGGAACTCTGATGGCGCGAGCGCCGCCACATGGACAGGCACCGCGGCAATGATTGATGCAGCGCGCGAGGCTCGCGCCATCAGCGCGAGGCCTGTGCCATCAGCGCGAGGCTGCCGGCGCCGGCGCCTCAGAATCAACGCCTCGGATTGATCGCGCTCAAGCGCCACCAAGATAATCGATAATGATTGCACTGTTTATCTCATGAACAGGGGGATGGAAGTGCTGCCTTACCCCCATGCCCATCTCTCAGTCTAGCAGTGGGAACCGAGTGTCAGATGGGGTCACCATCTTGGGCCCACGCAACAGAAGCAGAGGTGGGAAAAACAAGGGGCTGGGTGGACGTACCTCCAAACGGGAGACGATCCGCGCTGTCGATCTAGATGCAGCGGATGATGCAGTGCGGAGGCGGCGCGAAGACCTTGTCAACAGTACGTTCCATGCACATATGCAGCAGCCAGAGACTTACCAGTACATAGATCTCAGTGGCTTAGATCGGGCTGCTGCTATGGCTGCGTTCGAAATAGATGATATGCAGGGCCCCAATATCAACGTCGGAGACGTCAGCAACACAACTGATGGCGGTGCAGTGGAAGGCGACGACGAAGAAAATGCTTGGGCGGACGACGCAGATGTTGAAGCTTTCCGTGTGGCTCTAGAAAATAATATGACAACAGGGTGAGTGCAAAGATCTATGACCAGGGGCAGAAATAACATAGTATGTCTAGCATGCGCCCTGACGAGCGTTCCTGGCGTGATCGTCTCCGCACGCAAGACGAGAACTGGCAGCGCGTTTTCCCGTATGTGAAGGCAGCATACCTGCGGTGGAAGTATGGTGTTCCGCGTCGGCAAGAGGAGCGCAAGCGCGCAGCTCCCGAAGAAGACACACCTTCGGAAGAAGAGGCGCCGCCTGAGCAACACACAATTGTGTGTGTCGACCTGTACAGCCTGCGGAAGAACGTCACAGTGGAAGTATCATCTGGGCAGTGGACATTGGAAGCACTGGCCTTGGCCGGATACCTCGGCAACACCCCGGTCGGGCCGTTGCTTGCGATATCCTTCGAGACGCTGGAACTGTTCCGGTGCCTGAAGCTCGTCAAGGCATCCTTCAGCACAGAGGCCTTCGCTAAGCTCATCTGTTACAAGTATTATGTGAGCCTCTTGATCTTATTAATAGTCTTCAAGCTTACCTGGAGATAACAGATGGTATACCGACGCCACTATCGCACGGCACTCGCAGATGCTTTCGACATCTATCTAGAAGTTCTTGATGACGTCGATGCCGAGATCCAGCAGCGGCTCGGGCGCGGTGATCCGAACTGGCGTCCGCGCTTCGGATGCCCGCCATGTGGATACAAGGTACGTCTCCGGTCCGATCTACGCGACGTGCCGAGCGCGTGCCCGGCTGACCAGGTGCCGACCAGCTGGAAGGAGAGGCCCCTCTCCGCTTCGAGCGCATGGGTAGCATGGATGCAAATAACTCCCTAAAAAGGCTCCTTCGTAAGTATCGAATGGTTGGTGACCGGCGACACTACAAGAACACCTACTACTTGGGGCCACCATTCGTTGATCAATTCGCGAACCAAGTGCCGGCGCGCCAGGCACAGCCGAAGCCGACCGTTGATCTCGGAGATGATGGAGATGACGTCGATGCCATAGAGCCGGCTCCCGAGCCGGTGCCGGGTCCCGCGGACACAGAAGGCGATCCCACGGATGGAGAGGCGGGCGCACCGAGCCCGTGTGCCACGAATTGGAAGGCGGCTGCGGCAGACGAGAAGAAGCACATGTGGGGGGGCTTCGACGAGACGGGGATCTTCGCCAGTGCATGCAGGCATGGTAGGATCCTCTGGGTCGCGGACATGATCCGGAGTGGTGAACTGTAAGTAATGATGACTAGGTGGGACGCGTAACTGACGGATCATTCACAGCGCTAAGTACGGCATCGCGATGGTGGACAAGATCAACACCGAATTGCCCGGCAACATACTCCTCGGGTACGACATCGGCTGCGTGTTCCAAGGCACCCTCGCGCGCAGCAGCGCTGGTCCCGAGTTCCGGAGGCGCGGGTCTCTGTGCATCGTCAATGCTTTCCACGGCTACTCTCACTCTTACATCTGCCAGCTTCACCATCATCCTAATGTCATCACCGGCGCCGGCATCGAAGATCTGGAAACAATGGAGCGCATATTCAGCGGATCAAACGCGCTCGCTTCGATCATCCGTTACGCGAGCAAGTACCGACGGCACAGTCTGATTGTGCTCTATTTCCGTCGCTGGGATGAAGAGAAGTATACAAATCTCGCTGTGTTCCTGCGCAACAACTTCCAACAGGCGATGAAGATCATCGAGGAGTCCGAGGAGTTCTTGATCACTGTACTGCCTCGGCTCCAGCTGACAGAAGCGCAGCTGATCGAAGCAGCCGAAGAGGAGCGCCTCTATTTTGCGACCCTGCGCGACGAAAACCCTGATGATGAGTGGGCTTTGAGCTATGTGGAGCGGCTGGAGGACCTCAGAGTGATGAGGTGTGTCCCTTTCTTTCGAAGATGCGACACAATATTGACCCGCGCGCAGCGAGGAATATGCACAAAAAACTCGCACAGCTACAAAGCGCGCGACCCGCAACCCCGCGACCCGCGCGTTCATGCTGGGGCAGCCACCGCCAATGGGCGCGGGCGCGGGCACGAGCGAGGGCGCGGGTGCAGGCGCGAGCGAGGGCGCGGGCGCGGGCGCGAGCGAGGGCGCGGGCGCGGGCACGCGTGCGGGCGCGAGCGCGGGCGCGGGCGGCTCTTCGTCCTCCGACGGCTCCGGGATTTCATTTCAGGTCCCGTACACAGGCCCGATCACTGACTACAATGCGCACGCTCGGGAGACGCGGCGGACCGAGAGCACGAACCGCGTGCTGCGCAAGCGGATCAACGACCTCGATCAAGAGCTAGCCGAGATCGAGGACACCTGGAACATGACGCGGTGGCTGCCCACTGACACGCGCTACACAAAGGCAAAGGCGTATATGGCGACTCGGCGTTACCATCAGGCGCTGGGAAAACTTCAACGTCTGGTTATTCAACGCCTCTTCGAGCTGCACAAGCTTCATCTCGCGCAGACAGGTGAGTGATCGTGTGATCGTACGACTAAGCGCTGATCGGGAGCGCATCATAGGGTACAAAATGCGCTCTCACATTGCGAAGAACATGCAGAAGAGGTCGGCGGCGATCCGGCGGGCAATCGCAACGTATAACAAGGCGGCCGCAGTGTTACAGAAGCCCCTCGTCGACTGGAATCAGGTCTCCCATTACTCCTTTGTTCGCGAGTTTGCTCTCCTGCACGGATCATGGAATGACGTCAGCGGTAAAACCTGGGCGCGGCCGGAAGTCCGGGAGGCGATCGGGACCTGGCGGCGCTTGCAGCGGGCTCGCGAAGAGATCCAGATCGTGTATCGCGATGCGCGCCGCCTCCACACACACATACGTGACGAGCAGCAGGACTTCGCCGCTGTCCTCAAGCAACTCGAGCAGTCCGACGACATCCTCTATGGGCCGACCCTGGACTTTGTCCGGCACCGCGAGGCAGCTAACGCGTACAATCTAGCGTTTCTCGAAGACTTACATAAGGACCCTCGCTTCGAGGGCGAGAAGACGCCGGGCCGCCGCGAGGGAAGGGAGGCCACTCCGGAGCAGTCGATCCCCCGCATTTCCCCAGATCCGAGCGCGATCGAGGTGGAAGTAGGGATTGAGGGCACGTATGACGATGAGGCACAAGCGCAAGCAGGCGCGCTGCTCGATTACATAGCGCAGTAGTATAGATCGCACCTGAGACACGCTAGCGCTCGTCAAAAACAGCGTGTAACGAGTACAAAAACATAACTACCGATCTATCCTTTCTATTTGGACACCTAAAAATGAACGAGATGTAGTCTGTATGGCTGACCTGGTGCGCTCTAGGTAAAATTTCTATCTGGATGTTCCTATAACAGTGCTAGCATGGTTTGTGTGTGTTTCGTGCATGAAAGGCATGACCCTCTGCACACAACGTCGCTGCATTCCATGACGTACTAATGCACTCATAATCTGATGCATCAAATACCCGGGCTGCACGCCGGAATGCATGACAGATGCACGCCCCGCATTATTTTCCTGCCTGGATGTCAGGGGAAGGCTGCAAGGCATCCGAAGAACACATTTTGCGCAAGATCAATGCGGGGAAGCGTGGGCGCTAGCCCGCCCTCTCTTGCTTCTCACCATCGATCGCCCCTTCCTCTGCGTCTCCTCCTCTTCGCCGCTGCCGCCACACATGCACAGTGCGTCAAACCTTGAGTATGCCTCCCTCCAAGGTCCGTGGTATGTCGTACTGGGCCCGAACATGCGCGGCGTGATGCCGGACATCACCAATACCCGGTGAGTTCTTCAATTCAATGCTCTCTCTCACAGCTGTCGCCTGCTTACCCACGCTGTATAGGCCACAGACAGGGGTCGGAAACAATCCCAACATCTACCCGATTGTGGTATGCTGTGCGCACCGCGACGACGCGGAGGCCATCAACGGCCTCAATCGCACTGTCTTTCACGTCACCCCCGCCAATGACGTCCATCTCGCCGCGTGGCGTGTGCAGGAGGCGAACATCCCCCTCCGCGGCTCGCCCGTTTACGGTGTCCGTATCGCCCTCGATGGCCGTCACACAGGCCTTTTTATCGGGATCCCTTGGTAAGGACATCTTCTCGCGCTGCATGCGTTGTATTGACCTCATCTAAGGACCCATGTCGGTTTTCAGATCGGAGACGGCGAGCCTAACGTCCAACAGAAAGGCTGGTGCAAGCGGTTCGACCTGAAGGGTCTCCCCTTCGCAAGCGCCATGGCCTACATGATGGTGAAGAAAGGCCATAACTTTCCCATCGACTTCGACGTCGAGAACCCCATCCCAGCCCGCTCCGCGCCCGACCCGCGCCCTCCATTCCCCGCACCCCTGCGCGCGCCTCGCACCCTCGCACCGTCGTTACCCCCGCCGCGAAGCTTTGTCCACTGGTCGGCTCCCACCCCATCGCGCGGGAGTCAGCGCGAGCAGGCGCCACCTCTGTCAGGCGACGCGCTCGCACACGGTATGTCATTCTGCTCTGTGGGCGTGACATGGACTGACTAGCCACAGCCTTCCAGCAGGGCGCGAGTATTCGGGACCACGCGGTGCTGCCCGCACGCCACCACGGAGACGTTGAGAGCTGCGGCGCGCTCGCCGCAGCTATCCGTCTGCTCTTTATCTCCCCCGAGGAGGTTGTGGGGGTGCTCGTCCATTTCCCGTCTCGCTCGGGCCGAGGGCCGAGCAGATTCTCTTGGAGCTTGACCCGGACGGTACGCAGCTCATCTTCATTCTGCAGATGTTTGCTGGTGCGGCCTCGCCAAGGAGTTGCGTACGACGGCCACAAGCACCTCGGCTGGGATGGGGTGCAGCTAGAGCGTCTATACGACGCTATCTTGTATCCGCTCGATAATGATGAGTAAGAAATGGATCATTCTTTTCGCTCACTTCATCACGTGCTCTAGTCAACAAGTGAGACCTGGGCAGATTTTTTTCGCTCCGCCCTAGGTCCCTCCCAGCATCCAGCCCTGCCACTCCCACACCCTGCTTCTTTTCCCGCCCTCCCTGCGCGTCCCTTCCCCGCTCTCGGCATGGCCCGCAACAACGCAGACGCCCCCGCGTCAAAGAACCATGGCGGTATCAAGAAGTTACCTAAGGCTGCGCGCAAGCTGGGAAAGCGGCGCATCAAAATGCCGTGGTCGTCGCAGCGCCGAGCACGGCCGAAGCTCTCTTACATGGAGAAGAAGGCCATCCGCGAGAAGTCGAGGCTTTACAAGAACACGCTCAACCAGAGGCTTGACGCCATCCGCGACGAGGTCTGGGACCACGCCGTCGAGCTCCATGACGAGCTGGGTAAGCATAGCGCGGTATGGTACTACCGGCTCATTCTCCACCAGAGCAAGTTTCGCTTCAAGGAACCGCGGGCCCTGTCGCTATGGAATGCCTTCGTAAGCAAGGAGCTTCGCCTCCATAACAAAGGTGCGTTTATTTTCATCTGCAGTGCCATAACTAATGGACATCTGTCAGAGATGAATACGAACGACCGCGTGTCGTCCGAGTTCATCAAGAACTTGGCCGACCGCTGGCACGCGATGTCCGAGGAGGAGCGGGAGGACATGTGCCGCGACACGGTCGAAGCGCTCAACGAGCGGCGCGAAGAGCGGGGGCGCGCCATCCCCAACATCGCCATCGCGAATTTCAACGATTCGCGTGCGACGTTGATGGCGGTGGTCGAAGAGGTGCGCCACCTTCTTTCTTTGCACCCCCTCCCCATTGAAGTCCACCAACGCCCCAGCTTGACGGTCTCCACGAGCGCACCGGCGTGGAGGTCCTGCTCGTCGCGGTGCGCGGCGACCGGGCAAACTACCTCAAGCCCTGGGTCTACCGGTCCAGCGAGCGCATCGAGGAGTTCATCGAGCTGCTCACTGGCAAGGCGTTGGGCACGCTCGCCGCGCGCATCGAAGCCTGGTGCCTCACTGGTCTCAATGGTACGTACACGCAAATTCTAGCCGTGTCTTCAAGTACTTATCATAGTGCTGTTGCATAGGGTTGACGCAGAAGCACAAGAGCACCGTCCTGGACCTGAAGTCCAAGATCGGTGCTCTCATAATGGAGAAGCTTCGTAAGTTCTCGCTTCCTCGTTTATTCTACTCGCTGATTGGTGTCCATTAGAGGCGATGTCCACACGGGGGAGCCCCCCCGCGATGTGGTACAGCGACTTCCCCAAGAGAATTACCTACAAGTTCGGCGTCGTCCTCGAGAACTGGCCACTCGAGACCTTCCAGGCGCCCGGCCGCTTCAACTCCCTCAAGTTTCTCAACGTGCTCCGCTCAGCATGGGAGAGCGGAACGACGCGCTTTCGGTCGCTCACCAACGAGGAGCTCCTCACTTGGCGTCAAGCATACCACGCCGGCCTGAACCCGGTCGCTGTGACGTTCAACGCGGACAGTATCACCTCTCTCCAGGTGCGGGCGCCCAACCCTGAACCCACCATGTCTCCCTCCGCCTCGCGCGCGACCTCGCCCGCGTCGTTCACTCATCCTGCGCCCGCGCCCGCGTTGTCCACCTCGCCCGCGCCCACTTTGTCCACTCCCGCTCCCACGTCGTCCACTCCCGCGCCCACGTCGTCCACAGGCTCGCCCGCACCCTCCACCTCGCCCGTGTCGTCCGCCCCTCCCGCGCCCGCGTCGACCATCTCGCTCGCACCCGCGTCGTCCACCTCACCCGTGCCCTCCACCTCGCCCGCGCCCGCATCCGTGTCGTCCACCTCGCCTTTACCCGTGCCCGTGTCGTCCGCCTCGCCCATACCCGCGCCTGCGTCATCCACCTCGCCCATGCCCGCGTCCTCCACCTCGCCTGCGTCCTCCGCCTCGCCTGCGTGGTCCATCATGCCCCCTCCCTCCGCCCCGTCCGCGTTCTCCACTGCCACCTTTGTGTTCCAGGCCACGCCCACGTCCTCCACGTCCTCTGCGCCCCCTCCGCCTGGTATGGCTACCGCTGGGCCTCTCGGCACTGTCCCCGACCCCTTGTTCAACCACGTTGCGGGAGGTCAGGGTGTTCTCCTTCCGCAGAAGCGCCCCCGCAAGCCCCGCAAGGACAAGGGCATTCGTAAGGGTCCCACTGCTCGGACGCTTGCGCGCAGGGCTGCCGAGGCCGCCGCGAACGAGAACACTACTTGATGTCCCTCTAGTACGATACTGTATACATTGAACAATTATGTAGTAGGTCTTAGTCGCCGTTCAAATGATAAGTGCATACATGTCACCTTGAAGGGACTGATGATGTGTGTGTTATTCTAATCTTCGTGCCTGAATGATAGCTCCATAAACTCCTTTGTTGGTCAACATGGTAATGAAAGTACATGTCTGCCATACAATACACCCTACAGTACACCAAAGTAGAGTCTTCACGGATATACAATGCTAATTATAACTACTATGTGAGAGGTGCGCGAGACCGACCATCTTGGTGGCGCTTGAGCGCGATCAATCCGAGGCGTTGATTCTGAGGCGCCGGCGCCGGCAGCCTCGCGCTGATGGCACAGGCCTCGCGCTGATGGCGCGAGCCTCGCGCGCTGCATCAATCATTGCCGCGGTGCCTGTCCATGTGGCGGCGCTCGCGCCATCAGAGTTCCGCCCTCCGCCGGGGCGTTGAGTATGCTGACATAACCTCCCGCCCTCCCTACGCGGGGGCGGGGGCAGTGGCGGGGGGCAGGGGGTGGTCGGGGCACCACAGAGCACGTCTTACACGGACGAATTGTGTAGATAGATGCGCATTAGTAATATAAGTATATACAAAAAAGAACGGAGCGAATCGGGGAACGGGAACGGGAGGGAGAGCGGGAACAGTGAGCTCGTCGTTGGGGACGGCGAGCAGGACGGCGGGGATGGCCATCACGGACGGGCGGCGCCGGGGGGCGCCAACAAGGGCGGCCATCAGGGGGCGCGGCGCGGGAATCCGTTCACGTGAGCCGGGGAAGCGCGGAGGAGGGCTGGGCCGGGGCCTCGGGGAAGTCGGGGATGGGGCCAGGGGACTTGTACATAAGCACCCGTTCTAACGTTACCTTACAAGGTATCTGTAGTCGATATCTGTAGAGGCTCTACGGTTCGCAGGCGTAGAAACATTCGCAGTTACCGGAACGGGAATCACCCCAGGGGGGCGATCAAAGATCATTTGATTGCGATATCGGGAGGTACAGGTGCTCAAACCCAAAACCCAAAGTTCACCAAAGGCCGGAAGAAGACTGCATACTGGCTGTGGAGGGAGGATCCAGATACCAAGGAGGCCATTGGGTCCATGGGAAGGGACCAGAACGACACCTCTGTTGGTGCCGCATCTGCTATAGCCAGCAGGATGTGGGAAGAGTTGTCTGAGGAAGAGAAGCAGCCTTGGAAGGAGCTTGAGCACAGGCTTAGGAATGATGGTGGGACTGATGAGGAGAAACGCCTGTGAGTAACGAAATCATATTTGAGAATTTGGGCCCACAATAGGCATTTTAGATGGGCAGAGAAGAATGCTGCTCGCACGATGGAGGACGTCGTTGAATACCTCATGGCAAATGGCAACATGCCTTGCTTTGTGTATGGCCTTAGACGGGACAGCAATGGACAGATCAGACATTTGGTGTATGTAGTCCGCCCCATTTAAGTTCCAAAGATGGCAGTTGACATGCATACCAGGTCCTCTGTGACAACATACTTGAACAAAGCCTCTGTGAGAGGGGAGAATGGACCTCGTTGGCCAGAACCTGACAAACATCCCAAATGGGACGATGGACCTTTTGAGGTTCTCTCCTCTCTATTTCATTCCATTCTGGAGGGAGGGACACCAGATTCATACAGAAAGACTTCTGGGGTGAGTGCAGCAGCATTCTGTAGGACACTTCAACTAATACTGTGTATGGGATCAGATCAAAGTGAAGGCGTCAAAGCCTTCTCAACCAAGAGATGTTCCGTTTGAGTGGCGTGACAATCTGCCGGTATTGTTCATGCCAACTGCTGAACAGTGGCGAGGGGGTCTGAACATCAAGACTGTTATGACAGCCTGGTTCAACATCCATATCGGTGAGCCACAACTTTGTCACAATAGGTCATATAACCTGATTTAAAATAGACCTGGCCATGGGCCATGGGACACGGTCCGTCCACCACCCACCTTGGCGAATTCTCGCTGCGGAGTTGCAAAACGTCTTTGGCCTGGGCTGGTACACCCCAAAGCTCAGCCTTATCCTGAAAACGTTACAGCAAATCAGTGATGCAGACCTGATCGAGTGGGCTGAGCTCATCATTCAAAGAGAGAACATAGCTTTGGCATCTTTGAACTCCATTGATGAGGCTTCCACTGGTTTGGATCCAGGAAGCCGTTTCTTCCCACCAGAAGGCCGCTTTCACCTACGACTTGTGTGGGCTGGGCCACGGGGCGCAGAAACACTGAAGGAATCTACATATAGAACATTGAAACAGCCAACACAGCCCGAGACCAACCTCCGACAAGTCACTGAGAATGCAGAACACAAAAGGGCCAAGGCAAAGGGGAAACGCCGGCAAAAACAGCAGACAAGACAGCAGGAACACTCGACCACGCTCCAAGATGGTCCGTCCGACGACGATGGAGAACATATTCACATTCCCCACATGTCTTCGAGCGATGAGGAAGTGGATCTCCCCCAAGGCTCCCAACTAGGAGGGGAACAGCAGCATCCACATCCCCACAGCGATGGTGTTGTTGACGACAACGACGACAACGACACAAATGCAGTGGAAGCTGCTGTGGCAAACATCAGCAATGTCTCTTTCAGTGATGCCCAACCCCATGACCTTCCAGCGTCCCCTTCAGCTCTCAGTGATGGCAACATTGACGAACGTCGACTGCCTCCATCTCACGCTCTGAAAATGGCCTTTCCAAATGCAAGGTCCAACTTCCTCAAGTCTTTACAGAGCGAGTATGCACAACCCTACCAAGACATGCTAACCAGGGTCCACAGTGGTGTAGGCCAATTATTGTAAATGATGGCTATAATAAACTGATAAAGACACCCACACAGCTGGATGTGCAGGTCGATGTGCCACCCAACGAGTCTGCACCTTGGGCGACATGGAACAACTCGAACGGATATGTTGGAGGGCTGCTATATCGCGATGAAAGTGCATATGGTCTTCTCTTGGACTGGCTTCGCAAGGAATCTGTGCAGACAACAAGAACACCTATACAGGTTCAGCAGTTCTGCCTCGCCATCGGACTGCTAATGCGGGACCTACAGTTTCTAAACGAATTCATCCCAGACGAAGAGGAAACCCTCATCCCCAGCTTCACGCTCGACCACTTCCAGTTTTGCACTCTGGGCCAGACCACTCTTCTGCCAGACGACAATTCCTTTGTTACAAGGATGTCTGCTCTGGAAACATTCGCAAATGCATACCACCCAGCTGTTACCAGTCACCCCCCAAAGCCTCGGCCTGTTCCTAGGAGGCGGGCTGAAGTGGAGAATAATGGGAACTCAGTTGCTTCTAGATCTGCACAACCTCCCCCCATACCATCGTCTGTGCAATCTATATTGCATGTGGCAGCCCCTACCCGACGAAGCAACAGGCTCCCAGTCCCTGCAGCAAAGATGAAGGCAGCTAGAGATGGTGGCGAGAATGGTTTTGATGAAGTCTCAACAACACCTATGTCAAAGCCAGTCAGTCATTCAAAGGTGCCACAACACAAGAAGAAACGACGTGCAAATATGGATGAAGATGCCGCATCAAAGAGGCCTCGTGGGGCAGCCAACACTTAGTGGCAACAATTCATGGACAGCAAAAGTTTGTAGCTATTTCTCTACATCGCTAGAATATCCAACACATCGTCTAACCTGGGTATCATAGTCACATCAAATGCTGGAAGTCCACCTTCTGACCAGACCTTTATCATCTCCCTCCTATTGTACCAGGACATAACTGTACGGCAACCATTCACCTGGGGAACTCCATGTTCTATGAGGTTCGCCAGTAATAGGACAACAGTACCAGGGGAATAGCAGAAGGAACAGCCCAGACCACGGAGGCCAAGGTATCCATCAGTTCCATATGTACCCAGAGTTACAAGTAGATCGAACATGGAGGTGAAGCTGTTGATATCAACATGGTATGGGGTTATACGGTCATGGATGATTTGCAGTGCGATCCCTGTGACTGGCCAGGAAGTTTGACATCCAAGGTGGGAATGGAAGTGAGCTTGGAGAACACTCCACTGTGCAGGATGGAGCAGTTTCAGAAGTGCGTCCAAAAGTGCCCCAGGCCGTTGAATATCTTGCACCCATTGAGTAATTTCTGGGCGTTTCCAGTTCGCACTAGCCTGGACATTTGAGATCTACAAGCACTGTTAAAATAATATGAAGGTTCCAAAAGCAATATTGCTTACATCGTGCTTGGTAAATGGTGATATCTTGAACGGTCCAATATCGCATATACCAGCCCCATTGTTCTTGCACTTCCGGAAATGGGTGGTGTGAAGACGCCAGTTCAACTTATCATCGCTGGGTGGTTGAAAGAGATGTCTTATCCTGTCGTTGGCCGCATTGAGCTCGTTCTGCACACAGTCAGATTGTGTTGTGGTCAATGTTGGAACGACGCACCTGCAGAGCTGTTGTGAGGATAGCTGGGAGTACCCAAGCCAGCACGCGTTCGTCTTCGTCTTCAACTACAGCTGCATTTCTTTGCGCCGCTGGAATTCCAGAGTCTGTTGGCAACGGCACAGGGAAAGCACGGTTCCGGGCTTCAATTTCTTCCCAGCTTGGGCAACCGTGCGCCCTAGGCACTGACTTCGCGAACGCCTCCAATTTGAAGGGCACCTTGACTACCGCAATATGAGGAGGTGACTAATTATATATGAAGTCGCACATACCAGTGTTGCGAATGGCAAGGGCCACGACATCAGCAGCTCGAACACAACCTTCATGCAGCACTATATCGTCGCCTTCATGACATATCTCCGGTGGGTACGGTTGACTGGGGAACCGGCTGTGGTGATTCAGACGAGCGCGTACATAAGTTGGGAGGAGGCGGTGAGCTTGGTTTAAGAACGCGTCCTCCATGGGTGGGGGGGGGAGGGGGGGAATGGGAAGCACACGGAGAGGCAATGTGGACACGCCAACCTTTAGCTATGTGTGGGAGCACCGCGCCCCACGATGCGACCACGTTCCTTGAGGGTCGTGGGTACACTGAGGCTGAGCGCCCGCGTCTGATGGGCGTAGGCACTCCGAGCGCCCGTCTTTGATGGGCAAGGGCACTCCGAGCGCCCGTGTTTGATGGACGTGGGCACTCCGAGCGCCCATGTTTGATGGGCGTGGGCACTCCGAGCGCCCGGGTATGGCGGGCGTAGGCACTCCGAGCGCCCGTGTCTGACGGGCGTAGGCACTCCGAGCGCCCGGGTATGGTGGACGTGGGCACTCCGAGCGCCGGGGTATGCTGCGCATAGGCACTCCGAGCGCGCACGTCCAATCATTGTTTGGAGGCTGGGCCCACATATTTTGAACATAGCGCCTCCAACTTTCGATTGCGTGACACATTTCTGAATGCGCGAGTGTAGAATACGATATGCTAATTAAAGTTACGCCGACCTACGCCGTTGTCTCATGGGCATATGGCCTTCCATCGCAATGTCCTTGTCCCTACCGAGAGGCACCTCCGACGTTGCTCGAGTCGCCAATACCGCGGTACTGTCTTCAATTATACGCCATGGAGGGAGGCGTGGCCCGATGAGTCGATCGGAGGGTGATTCGTGCCGTTCCGCGCTTTCCCGATGCAGCGCAGTGGATCCTGTAGGATCGGGTAAGTTGCAAACATTTTCAAAGCTCTCCGATGACGAACCTTCATGTGTAGGAACAGGCACCGCCCGCTCCCCAGATCCCGTCGGTGAAGGAGACCGCTGGCTAACTTCCATGGGCATATGCGACGCCCTGTCCGATGTTGCGCCGGCGCAGCTGGAGGCGTGTTCATCCGCTTTCTCGTCCGACGAAGACGATGCGTATGATGGCAGTCGAGGAACCACCATCAACAACCTCGGAATCAGCGGCGATGGTGAGGGAGAAGTTGGTCGTGCCCGATCTTCGCTACCATGTGCGGGTATAATTGGGCCTGCCGATGCACTGGGCAGAGCGAAAAGAGGTGCGGGGATCGTAGTGTGAGGGGGCACGGGTGGCGAGGCGGCAGACAATGATACAGGAGGCGTCGTGGCCGCGGATTTCGGAGGTGGGGGCGGACTATGAAAAGACGGGGTGGGAGCGGGCAGAGTCGCGTCGAAATTTGTCATAAAATGGGGGGTGGAGGGGGCGGTTCGTTGAAGTCCGCCGTCGCATCGAACACGAAAGGCGAGAGAAGCGTCGGCGCCGTCATCAGTGTATGGTTGACTTGCTCTAGCTCTAGGACTCTGGCAGTCAACGCGGCAACGTCCTCTTGAAGCCCCTGGTTCTGTGCAAGTGTGCGTCGCACCAGCTCGCTGTTGTTGGCAATCTCAGTGCGAATCGCCTCCAAGTCGGCCATGGTCGCTGGCCGCGATGCTGCTCTGCCTTCCCAACGCTTGTGCCCGTCGACAGAGGGCAGGGTGGACTCTGGAATCGCGAAGAAATCGCGTCCTGCGTTTAGTTAACACACCTTCAATATCGAAACGTTGTCGCATACCTGGGACTCGAGATGGAATGTTGTACCTTGCTACGGAGGGTCCTGGCAGCGCGCTCTCCGCCTCCATATCTTCTTCGCTCTCCACATCCGGGCTGCGGATTCGCGCCCGTTTGCGAGGGCGCGGCGGCTGCGCAATGTCTTCCATACCAGCATTTTCGCCCTGCGGTTCGTTCGCTGTGAATGAATAACATCAGTCGCTCGTGGCCGTGTGTTCGGTGCGCCTGTGTCCCACCTTTACGCAGCTGCTCCAGCCATTCTTCTTCGGTTTCAACTAAAATACATAGCATGAGTTTGTTAACGACCGATTCGATTATCGTGACTTACAAAAGCCCTCCTCGTCATCGCTGTCGTTGTAGAGCCGCCCCTTCGGCTTGTTCCTGTCGTTGGGGTTCCATTCCGGATCCCCCTGAGATATAATCAGCACCAACCGGGTATAGCATGATCCCATACTCACTGGCGCAACATCTGTGTCATCGAGCGTAACCGCGCCCACAGGGTACGGAATGAAGCCGTTGTCCCGGAATTCCAATGTGTCGGGTCGAGTGCGATTCTGTGCCGCCTCGTGCTCTTCTTTCCCTGCAACCCTCCAAATCTCAGAGAGATATCTGATCCAGGTTGGGGTATCGTCTTTCCGTGCATTGCGCCACTTCCTCGAATACAACGTCACATCGCGGAAGACGTTCGGATTGGCCGTCATAATCCCCACGCGAAGCATGCGGGTGCGGACGAGGACAGATGTTGGATACCCGCCTGCGATGGCCGGGACGACGTCACATGCAACGCGTCGGTCCCGGCAGCACACACATGCCGTGCCCCCCAGAGGCCAAAACTGACATGGTGTTCCATGCCGCTTGCAGGGGCCGCATTTCATATTCTGCAAGTTGCACGGGGGATTAGGTGAATATAGGAAGGCATTTATCACAAAACCGACTTACCTGCGGCAGCGTCGCCAGCGGGTAGTATGTCTTGAATTGGCTGATAGGAACTGGCGGGGGAAAGTACCTCTCGTGATGCACAAAAGGACTTGCCTTCTGCTTTCTGGTACTGCGGCGTTTCTTTTGTCGAGCCTGACCCCCAGACGTCCCACGCGATGCGGCACGAGACGTAGCACGAGACGTGCCGCGAGATGTCATCCGAGAGGATGCGCGAGAGGACGCGCGAGAGGACGCGCGAGAGGACGGCCGAGATGTCGCCGGAGATGTTGCACGAGATTTAGAATGGGATGTCGCTCGAGAGGCCATGCTCGGGGTCCTCGACGGCTTCCGCACAAGCCGCTTGTTAGGCCCGCGAGGATTCACCGGTGGGCTGGGGGACACTGAACCATCTAAGAAACGAGCGTTAGTTGCAGCTCCGATCTGAACACTGCGTACGAACCGTCGCTCTCTGCACCACGCCGTTTGCGCTTCTTGTCTGTTGAGGACGAAGAGTCAGATGATATGGTGACGGTTCATGGAAGACTTACTGGTGTCGGGGGGAGACACGTAGTCCAACTGCTGGGCACGCGCAGGCCTTTTCGCCTGGCCATCACGCCCAGGGGTGCGTCCCCGCTTGACGACATCCTGGACGTGGCTACCGTCTGCAAAGGAGGTATAAGACAAGGCGGGAACGCGGGCCGTCTATGAACCCACCGTCTCCACCTGAGCCACTGGGTTGTGGGGACCGTGCCACGGATTTCCCCTTCGCCCGTCGACGCTTCTCCAGCTGCTCCGCAGCAGATGGCGGCGGCGCATCCTTGATATCGTCCCCACTGCAACCCAATTGTGAGTCGAGGACGGCAGCATCTGAACAAATACATTAAAAAACGGCATAACGATAGGTCTAGGACTTACCTCGCGTCTCCTTTCCGCTTTTCCCTAACATTACCGTTAGCTCAAAAGATTGCTGCAGGTTCGGAAGCGACTTACATTCGAAAACCCAACCATCTTGTAGGTCCTTCAGGGGCACGAAGCCGATCTTCCAGTCGTCATCGCCGGAAATGGGGTAGCTGAAGGGAAAGCCTTCCTCCCGGGGATCCTCCTTCCCGAACGCCCGGACGTTCCAAGGATTGGGAACGTATGGCACACCTTGTTCGGCCACGAAGCCGGCGTAGTCGTACTCGTATAGCGCGCCGAGTACAAGCTTCGGCAGAATGGTGATATTCGCGTGATGGTCGGGATATATCTCACTGATTGCCTGCACCGCACTCTTCAAGCCGTCTTCCCACCGCTGCAAAACATCCCGTGGAGTGGTGGCCTTCGGGGGGAGGTGGCGGAGGGCATAGTGGATTGCGCTCGCGTGGCGGCGAAGCGTCTGTTGTACCGGTTCAGGCAAGGATGTCGATGTGTCGCCAGACATATTCGTAGACAGACTGGATGTGGAAGCTAGTCGAAGTGTGGATGCAAGCAGCAGGGATGGGCAAAGACTTGGCGGTTGGACAGAGTGCAGTTGAGCGGTTCAAGTTCGCCTACGCGTCTCGTCACATGCCCGCGTTTAGCGCCCAAACGACCGGCGCGACCATGTGACGCAAGTCTTTCTGCCACGCTTCCACAAGCCCCGGATTGCAACACTGCCAGCTCCCAACGTGTAGTTCATTGCTCCATAAACAAAATGTCACACGGTTTCACAGGTGTGTTGGTAATGTTGATGCGTTCTCACTCCACTGACACATCCATAGAACCTACGCCTTGTGTCCATCTGGAGCCGTTTCGTTGGGTTCCAGAAGACCTCCAAATAGCGACGTGGCCGACATTGAATACGGTCGACATACCATCCAACCTGAAGACACTCTTGTTTCCCCCGAGGATATTCGGATCGCGGAGCTACTTGACTACGTTCCTACCCACCCCCCTCCGCCTTCTCTTCGCGGCATGACCGGCTCCGTGCGAACCTCACATCTTCCCCCCACCGATCCGAGCACCTACCCGTCGTTCATATGGGAGCTCGACCATCGCAACTTCACCATACCTGCGGATTCCAAAATCGCGCTTCAGGACGGACGCCCCGCCTCGCTCATCCACCCTGCTGCCCCAGAAGTCCTTTTTCCCGCCTGGGCGGCCACCACTTGGCGGGCGATGTCTGAAATCTGGAATGCTCGTGATGTCTGGGTCAAAGGCTTCAACTATTGTCGGAAAAACTCGCCTTCGTCGTACCAACGCGATCTTCAGCACTTCGTCCGAGTGCACTGGTACGAGGCCGCCGCTCTGAATTCGGACCTGTTGGCACGGTGTCAACAAATACTCGGCGACAATATGGTCAACGACGAATCGTTGAATGACTGTGTCGACGTACTAAATGCCACTCTTGACCCGGAGAGCCGTCCAATAGTCGTAACCCAGACTGGCTTCTGTCCCTTTGTGCTCCAGGAGAAGACATCGGAACGCGTGCTGCGAAAAGCTTTGCGCAAGCTCGGTAACAAGGCGCATGGTCAAATAATCATCCCATGGCATCTTCCACAATCACGGCATTGGGTCACTGTCCGGCTCGACCTCGACACGCGCATGTTCGTGATCGTCGATTCCCTCCGCGGCGCCAAGTCCCCAGATAAGACCGTCTGGCAAGGTGTACAACTCCTTGGGACAGCAATTGACAAGTTTCTCGGCCTACCGGACGGCTCAGACCCCTGGATACACGACGCTACATCGATAGCTTCACCAAGGCAACGTGACGGTATTTCGTGCGGTCCGATCACCTTGAACACAATGCAACGAATGTTGTATAACGATCGGGATATTTGGACGCCGGAGCGGGCAGTAGCAAGTCGCATGGAGGTAATGGATGGCTGCGTGAAATGTTGGGAACTGGTGAGTCTTGTGCGCGATCCTCCTTCAGGTCTATTCACACATCTCCCTTCTCAGAGAGGCAGTCTGGCAAGGACAAAGACACAACATGTATTCGGCAAACTTGGTTTCTTTAACCCCGCCGGTGGCCCCGCCGTGTATGCACCTGTAAGTGTGGTTTTCACTGGTACCCAACACATCACATGAATCGTTCTTGATACAGGGTGATTCAAAGTCCACTGACGGGAATGGTGCAAAAACGCCGCTCCTGGACGCTGCGGGACACTCTTCCGAAGGCGCAAGCGAACCAGATTCGGAGAGCAGCGAGAGAAAAGCAGCACCAGGGGTGGTTCAAGACACGGTGGCGATGCGAAGGCTGCCCAACATTTCTTCCCCCATCACGATGACCACGCCTTCAGATTCATCTGTGGACGTCGGCAAGCCTCTGGGAGATGCTGCCACCAAAGAAACGTCTCTACACCCCGATGGAATGGCGGCGTTCCGGCAGATAGCCCCGTCTTCCGATGCCCCTCGCCCTGTGGCTCACGGGATGGCGGCATTCCGTCAGTTTGCCGGGTCCCCCAATATTCCTGCCCGCACCAATCCTGACAGCGTAAATGCCCCTGCCGACATCCACAAGTCTCCGCCAGATGGCGCCATCGAAGCAACGCCTCTCCGAACTGATGGCATGGCGGCGTTCCAACCCATGGCACCATCTTCCAATCTACCTCGCCCTGTGGCTCACGGGATGGCGGCATTCCGTCAGTTTGCTAGTAATCCTTCTTCCTCAGGTGTTCCATTTGACCACACTGCAATAACCGCCATGCAACGTACCCCGCAGACTGCGCCCGGCTCCGGCGATGCTATACCTCTACAGGGTATGGCAGCATTTCGGCAGATGGGAGCGCCCCCAAACAAGCCATCCTCTATTGCAACAGGTATGGCCGCATTTCGCAGCTTTTCCAAACCAAACCGGGCGGAAAGCATCTTGCACAACGAAATCGAACATTCGACGGCGAAGAAGCGCAAGCTCTCTTAGCTACCGTACATATACACAAAGTATCTAGAATGCGATCTGGATTGTATGCTATACACACACCCTACATAAGCTTTTAATCCTTTATGCTTCATTCTTCATGATGACAACGCTCGGGACGCACGGGCGTGTGCAAAATGGCCATTTCATACTGGCCCTCGCATGGTATACAGACGTCAGAGATGTGCGCTCGGAGTGCCCACGCCCATCAGATGCGGGCGCTCGGAGTGCCTACGCCCACCATACCCCGGCGCTCGGAGTGCCCACGCCCATCAAAGACGGGCGCTCGGAGTGCCCATGCCCATCAAAGACGGGCGCTCGGAGTGCCCATGCCCATCAAAGACGGGCGCTCGGAGTGCCCACGCCCACCAAACACGGGCGCTCGGAGTGCCTACGCCCCTCATACCCCGGCACTCTCAGGGAGCACAGTCATCGGACACGCGCGTTCTGAGTCCTTGCCGCCTTCAAAACATTGGCCTCTGATATGTATTACACACAACGTTCTAGCCTCTGCCACCCCCCGTAGATCATGTGTGCTTTGTATACGAATATTACATTTCCGAGACAGCAACCCAG